TACTTACGCCTACACACAAATATTGTTTTTTTTTTTAAATAATTATCACATTAAATAAAAGAAGTACATATATATGTTTATTACTATTTTACTGTAAATTCCACTTTCTGTAATTGTAATAATGTCTTGTTTGGTGGATTTCGACTAATAATAATTAAAATATGTAAAAAGCGCATTCACGTTTAATACTCCCAGTGTTTTAGGATTATCATTGAACACCACCCACATATGTATCATTTGGATTTCACCGGATGCACACCTATCTATAAGCACACAATTATGATTTTTCCGGCAAAGAATTAAAGTAGGAGTTGTCGTTCTTTTCTTTTATATTAATGAGAAAAGACTCCAGTTTGTTTTGGAGAAAATTTGTTATATTTATTAAGAATCAAGTGTTTTAGCAAGTGCATTTGGCTTGTTCAATACAGGCAAATCTCGCATTATCATCACAGAGGTCATATTCGAGGTTTATTATCTTCGTTCATTGTTTATAAGTACAGGATGGGCCACGGGAATAGGGACAAAATTGATGGGTTTTTCTCAACACTGAATGGGAGAAAGAAGGTCTAGATAAGCTCATTCGATCCGTCAGATAATGCCATTTAGTTATCACTATGGCGCAGTGGAGTGTTGTTCACCGTGTGTTGAAAAACAATGATTCGATAGATAAGGTGCAGCGTGCATTCAGACATCACTTCAAAGTCGGACGTCGCGGTGCTGTTCCTAATCGGAAAACGATTATGAGGTGGGTCGATAGTTTGATCGATCACCAATTGGAAAATGCGAATATAAGTATGAATTTAATGTGCTACCGGTATTGGATAACCGAAGAAATATGATAACTATTAAGAGGAAATGTAGTGTCTTTACAAAATCATAACAAATGAACAGATGGATAAAAATGTAAAAGTCAAACGCTAACAAATTTTTAAAATGTTTGCACACAAATTTATGTAATCAAAAACGCATGTTACCATATAAAAAACTAAAAACGCGACTAATAAGGGTTGGTGATAAAAATTTTCAAAATATTGAAAAATATAGTACAACGGTACCTAAAAATATTGGAAAATAATATTGTTCTAGATATATTTAATATATTCCGAGAAAATGGCTGGATATATATGTATATATATATATATATATATATATATATATATGTGTGTATATTTATCACGTTATTGTATTACTGTTTAATTTTTAGCACTTGTAAAAACTGATTGGCGTTTAAATTAATAAATAAAATAGTTAAAAAGTTACAGCTTGGAGGACATATTTACTGTACAAAAAATATATTTTTTTTTATTTCCTTTAACACGGATAATCATTTTGACCTTCACAAATTGCCAGTAGTATAAATAAATCAACTATAAACAAATTATGAATATATATATATATAAGATAGATACTAAATATTTTTATTGTGCCATTTTTTTCTTTATTAGACCAGAAAAATTTGTGCAATAAAATAATTTTTTTGGTTTTTTTTAATGTGCCAATAGTAACGGTATACCGAGTACACTATACACGGGCATCACCTTTTTCTAATTACACAACAGACCAACAGAAAATGGTGGGAATACACTTTTAAGTTAAATGTCGGTTTTTACACTAATTTTAACTTAAAGGTATCGCGTTTATTTTTATTTTTTGACATTTAGAAATAAACAAATTAAATATTAAACATATACTTAACGATATTATAATATTATACATACCCCTACACACTAATATTTTTATTTTTTATTGTTAATTGTCACATTATATATAATCGGTACATTTATATGTTTATTACTATTTTACTAAAAATGCCGACGACACAACTGGGTCCATGTGAATTCCATTCAATTCAATTCAAGCAAATTTTGATCAGGGCCAGTTGATTATTTTGACTAATTACAGCATGAAATAAAGTTGTATTCTATACAAATATACTGATTTATTTTTTATTTCTGTCAACAAGGATATTTATTTTAACCTTTACAAGTTACCAGTAGTATAAATGAATTATCTGTAGACAAATTATGCACAAATTATTAGTTATTGTTAAAGTTAGGTCATGCATTATTTTCATAATTATTGACTGATTTTTATCAACAAATGAAAATTGTTGTTGTTATTGTTTACCTTCTATATAAGTTAGTCTATGTTGCTTTTTTTAAAATATTATTCATTCACATAGTCGCTATTCAAAAATAATTGCTTTGTTACTTTCAACAGAGTATTAAGTAATACTATTCATTTCGCAGTCGTCATGACCTACAAAAAAGTAATGTTATTTTGTCTAATAACTATGTTCTTAGCACTTGCCAACTCAAAGGTAAGTTCAACTAGATTTATTGCTGTAGTACAAGTAACTAATATTATAACATAGATTATAAAAATACATTTATTACAGAGTCAATTTCCGTTACTTCAGCCTATACGACATGAACCACGTTTCAGTAACTTAGAAATAACGAATAAATATTCTTTAGTACAAGGCAATGCCAGCTTTAATCAATATAACGCCATCCATTATGCAGACTTCCATTATATATTTTATGATTCTGTTTACATAGGTCGAGTAAGTTGAATTTATTTAGCAGCCCTAAAACCCTAATGAATATAATAAAAGAAATCGTGAGAATCAAAAGGTAATAAGTGGCTTTTATAAAATTTAATAAACTAGCAAAATGAATATGGTTTCTCCCTTGTATGCTTAGAAGTGTTGTTCATTAGTCTTTTTTCAACAATATTAACAATAAGTATTGTGTTGTATTAACAGTTGATATTGTTAAACGGAAAACATATTATTTTGGTTCTCATCGATTTAAAATGTTTGCTTGATGGTTTTTGGTTCCATTCGTGTTGCCACTAGTTAGCTGGTATTTCGACCCGTTGCAGGGTGTAAATCTTGAGAGACATTGTTATTGACTATAATCAATATTTCTTTGAAGATGGACTTTGCTGTGAGATAGAAACATCAGTTCACTAATGACAACAATTTGAATAGATTCGAAAATGATCAAGCGAATATTTGAGCCCATGAAAGTTTTAATACGTTTGTTGTGTTTATTGTTTTAGGCTAATATCGAAATAACAATGTGCAAAGAATATTTTATTGATTGTTCTAATCTCAGAACGTTTGATATTACGGATATCTGTTTAAAAGGCGCGGCAATCTATTACTTTATATCTGTAGGATATGCAAACCGTGTATTTACGTCATGCCCACTCCAAGTTAGTTAAACTCTTTACTATATCATAAAATACATATCGGTAGTATTATTTGACATTATATTTATCTTCCTGGAACTTAAGTTGTTATTGTTAATTTGTTTAAATGTATTTTTATTGTTTCAAAAAAAAATATATATACATAGTGATCTACTTGTCGTGAACCACTAGGTTAAATAATAAGTGCAATTTTTTACCATAGTATATTTATTTAATGTATAATTATATTACTGTAAAAATCACTCTGTTTTTGTATTATATTAATAGGGGGAATACATTCTCAAGAATGTAACCTTCAACATGGAAAAAGCAGCTCCATTGTTATTCGGACCGACAGAAAAATGGTGGGATTACACTTTTAAGCTAAACGTCGATATTTACAATAATCATAACTTGAAAGTTACACATGTTCACGTTGATTATTATTTTTTGACATTTAGAAATAAACAAGTAAGATTTCTATAAATATATTTTAAAATTTAATACTTACGCCTACACACAAATATTATTGTTTTTAAAAATAATTATCACATTAAATAAAAGAAGTACTATATATGTTTAATACTATTTTATTATAAATTCCACTTTCTGTAATTGTAATAATGTCTTGTTTGGTGGATTTCGACTAATAATAATTAAAATATGTAAAAAGCGCATTCACGTTTAATACTTCCAGTGTTTTAGGATTATCATTGAACACCACCCTTATATAAATTATGTTAATCTTTAGGATTTCACCGGATGCACACTTATCTATAATGATACAATTATGAACTAGCCTGCAAAAAATTAAAGTAAGTGTTATTGTTCTTTTCTTCTATATTAATGAGAAAAAGATTCCAGTTTGTTTTGGGGATCATTTATTATATTTAAGGTGCAGACATTTATTCAGAATCGAGCGTTATTAGCATTTGTCTTTTTCAATACACCCAAAAATAGCTTTATCATCAGAGAGGTCATATTCAAGGTTTATTAGATCTGATATTGTTTTCATACACATTGGTAACTTGACCGTTGAAATACGTAATAATAATAAACATTATTAGTGGTATTATTATTATTATAATTGAGGCATTAGCAAATCTTAATCCGCAAATTCATTTTTGTGAGAAAAAAATTATAATAATAATTACAACATTAAAATAATAAAGGTTTTAAAAAGGCATGTCAATTTTGATCAGGGCCAGGTAATCATTTTGACTAATTCTTACTGCTTACTGCTTTACTCTATACAAATATAATGATTTATTTCTTATTTCTGTCAACAAGGATATTTATTTTAATCTTTACAAGTTACCAGTAGTATAAATGAATTATCTGTAGAAAAATTATTAGTTATTGTTAAAGTTAGGTCATGCATTATTTTCATAATTATTGACTGATTTTTATCAACAAATGAAAATTGTTGTTGTTATTGTTCACCATACTATATATTAAGTTAGTCTATGTTACTATTTTTAAAAATATTATTCATTTACTTTGTCGCTACTCAAAAATAGTTGTATTATTAATTTGAACATTGTATTAAATAATACTTTTCATTTCACAGTCGTCATGACCTAAAAGATAGTAATGTTATTTTGTCTTATAACAATGTTTTTAGCACTTGCCATATCAAAGGTAAGTTCAACTACACTTATTATCTTCGTTCATTGTTTATAAGTACAGGATGGGCTACGGAATAGGGACAAAATTGATGGGTTTTTCTCAACACTGAATGGGAGAAAGAAGGTCTAGATAAGCTCATTCGATCCGTCAGATAATGCCATTTAGTTATCACTATGGCGCAGTGGAGTGTTGTTCACCGTGTGTTTGCGTACGACGCGTTTGTGAAAAACAATGATTCGATAGATAAGGTGCAGCGTGCATTCAGACATCACTTCAAAGTCGGACGTCGCGATGCTGTTCCTAATCGGAAAACGATTATGAGGTGTGTCGATAGTTTGATCGATCACCAATTGGAAAATGCGAATATAAGTATGAATTTAATGTGCTACCGGTATTGGATAACCGAAGAAATATGATAACTATTAAGAGGAAATGTAGTGTCTTTACAAAATCATAACAAATGAACAGATGGATAAAAATGTAAAAGTCAAACGCTAACAAATTTTTAAAATGTTTGCACACAAATTTATGTAATCAAAAACGTATGTTACCATATAAAAACTGATTGGCGTTTAAATTAATAAATAAAATAGTTAAAAAGTTACAGCTTGGAGGACATATTTACTGTACAAAAAATATTTTTTTTTTTTATTTCCTTTAACACGGATAATCATTTTGACCTTCACAAATTGCCAGTAGTATAAATAAATCAACTATAGATAAATTATGTATATATATATATATATATATATATATATATATAATTAATTTTAGTTAAAGTTAGGCGATGCTGCATTTTCAATATTATTATTCATTTCAATTCTTGGTACACAATTAAACTATAATTTAACTGGACGACTGATTTTTATCAACGGATGAAAATTGTTATTGTTATTATTTACCTTACTATTGAAGTTAAACCTTGTTGCTTTTTTAAATATATTATTCATTTACATTAGCGTTACTCAATCTGTTTTTGTAATATTTACACAGGGGGAATACATTTTCAGGAATTTAACCGTGAACACGGAAAAAGCAGCTCCGATGTTTTTCAGACCAACAAAAAATGGTGGGAATACACTTTTAAGTTAAATGTCGGTTTTTACACTAATTTTAACTTAAAGGTATTGCAGTATCGCGTTTATTTTTATTTTTTGACATTTAGAAATACACAAATTAAATATTAAACATATATTTAACGGTATTATAATATTATACTTACCCCTACACACTAATATTTTTATTTTTTATTGTTAATTTTCACATTTTATAAAATCAGTACATTTATATGTTTATTACTATTTTACTAAAAATGCCGACGACACAACTGTATGGGTCCATGTGAATTCCATTCAATTCAATTCAAGCAAATTTTGATCAGGGCCAGTTGATTATTTTGACTAATTACAGCATGAAATAAAGTTGTATTCTATACAAATATAATGATTTATTTTTTATTTCTGTCAACAAGGATATTTATTTTAACCTCTACAAGTTACCAGTAGTATAAATGAATTATCTGTAGAAAAATTATGGACAAATTATTAGCTATTGTTAAAGTTAGGTCATGCATTATTTTCATAATTATTGACTGATTTTTATCAACAAATGAAAATTGTTGTTGTTATTGTTTACCTTACTATATAAGTTAATCTATGTTGCTTTTTATAAAATATTATTCATTTACATAGTCGCTACTCAAAAATAATTGCTTTGTTACTTTCAACAGTGTATCAAGTAATACTTTTTGTTTTCCAGTCGTCATGACCTACAAGACAGTAATGTTACTTTGTCTAATAACTATGTTCTTAGCACTTGCCAAATCAAAGGTAAGTTCAACTAGATTTATTGCTGTAGTACAAGTAACTAATATTATAACATAGATTATAAAAATACATTTATTACAGAGTCAATTTCCGTTACTTCAGCCTATACGACATGAACCACGTTTCAGTAACTTAGAAGTAACGAATAAATATTCTTTAGTACAAGGCAATGCCAGCTTTAATCAATATAACGCCATCCAGTATGCAGACTTCCATTATATATATTATGATTCTGTTTACATAGGTCGAGTAAGTTGAATTTATTTAGCAGCCTTAAAACCCTAATGAATATAATAAAAGAAAACGTGAGAAACAAAACATGAAAAGTGGAATTTTTATAAAATTTAACAAACTAGCAAAATGAAAATTGTTTCTTCTGTGTATGCTGGGGAGTGATATTTATACGTTTTTTTTAAACACCTATATCAATGGTTATAAGGTTTTAATAACATATTGTTAAACGAAAAACTTATTGTTTTGGTTCTCATCGCTTTATAATATTTGCTTGATCATTTTTGGATCAGTCCGCGTTGCCACTAGTTTGGTATTTCCACCCACTGCAGGGTGTAAATCTTCAGAGACATTGTTATTGACTATAATCAGTTTGTCTTTGAAGATGGGCTTTGCAGTGGGATCGAAACGTCAGCTTACTAATGACAACAATTTGAATAGATCCGAAAATGATCAAGCGAATATTTCAATCCATAAATGTTGTAACACGTTTGTTGTGTTTATCGTTTTAGATTAATATCGAAATAATGATGTGCAAAGAATATTTTATTGATTGTTCTAATCTCAGAACGTTTGATATTACGGATATCTGTTTAAAAGGTGCGGCAATCTATTACTTTATATCTGTAGGATATGCAAACCGTGTAATTACGTCATGCCCACTCCAAGTTAGTTTAACTCTTTACTATATCATAAAATACATATCGGTAGTATTATTTGACATTATATTTATCTTCCTGGAACTTAAGTTGTTATTGTTAATTTGTTTAAATGTATTTTTATTGTTTCAAAAAAATATATATATACATAGTGGTCTACCTATCGTAAACCACTAGGTTAAATAATAAGTGCAATTTTTTTCCATAGTATATTTATTTAATGTGATCTCAATTTTTCACAATTTTTTTTAGTTTTTACCCCCTATAACTTAGTTTTTTTGATAGCAAATTTTTAAACTGAAATGGTAACGTTCATATTTTATTAATTTTTTAAATCGAAAATAATGTACTTAAAATTTTGATTGGTCGATAGCCAGTTTCGGATAACTATTTTTATAGTTATCAGAGTTATAAAGTTATGATGGCAGGGGAAGTGCGACTGAGAAATGTGCGCAGATAAAAATAATACCACACTTCACCTTTCCTCTTGCCCTAAACTTAAATCTTCATCAACTTTACATTATTCTCAATTTAAAAAGTTAATTAAATTTATACGTTATCATTTAAGTTTCAATAGTCGCTATCAAAAATTCAATTTCTTATTATAGCAGAAGATTGTGAGGTTATAACGATAAGAGAATTGCCCAGTATATATAGATTATAAATAGATTTGCTTGGGCTATAATACAAGGTGGTCAACTTATCAAGGTGAACCACACATGATCTCACTGGGTTTAACAAGAAATTTAAGTTTTTCTTTATGTAGTGTTTTTATGCAATGTTATTTCAAATTTTTACCATCTCTTTGTTTTGACTCTCAACTTAGTTTTTTTTGATAGCAACTATTAAAACTTAAATAATATTGCATCAATGTCATTAACATTTTAACTCTCATAACTCTTGAAATAGTTATTTAAAACAGGTTATTGGCCAGTCAATATTGTTAGTACATTACTCTAGATTTAAAAAGTTAAAGAAATGTATGCATTAGGTATCATTAAAGTTTTAAAAGTTGCTAAAAAAAAACCTATTAATATTTTTTTTTAATATTAGGTAGATAAATAGTGCCAGTAGTAACGGTATACCGAGCACACTGTACACAGGCGTCACCTTTTCCAATTACAATTTTATATGGTATTTTTTTTATTGAATATAATTATATTACTGTAAAAATCACTCTGTTTTTGTATTATATTAATAGGGGGAATACATTCTCAAGAATGTAACCTTCAACATGGAAAAAGCAGCTCCATTGTTATTCGGACCGACAGAAAAATGGTGGGATTACACTTTTAAGCTAAACGTCGATATTTACAATAATCATAACTTGAAAGTTACACATGTTCACGTTGATTATTATTTTTTGACATTTAGAAATAAACAAGTAAGAATTCTATAAATATATTTTAAAATTTAATACTTACGCCTACACACAAATATTATTGTTTATAAAAATAATTATCACATTAAATAAAAGAAGTACTATATATGTTTAATACTATTTTATTATAAATTCCACTTTCTGTAATTGTAATAATGTCTTGTTTGGTGGATTTCGACTAATAATAATTAAAATATGTACAAAGCACATTCACGTTTAATACTCCCAGTGTTTTAGGATTATCATTGAACACCACCCTTATATAAATTATGTAAATCTTTAGGATTTCACCGGATGCACATTTATCTATAATGATACAATTCTGAACTAGCCGGCAAAGAATTAAAGTAGGTGTTATTGTTCTTTTCTTCTATATTAATGAGAAAAAGATTCCAGTTTGTTTTGGGGATAATTTATTATATTTAAGGTGCAGACATTTATTCAGAATCGAGCGTTATTAGCATTTGTCTTTTTCAATACACCCAAAATAGCTTTATCATCAGAGAGGTCATATTCAAGGTTATTAGATCTGATATTGTTTTCATACACAATGGTAACTTGACCAGTGGCATGTTTAAAAGTGGGAAGATGTCGAAAAATGTATTGACGACAAATGGTAAAACCCTCGAATGGTGAACTACATAATAATAATAAACATTATTAGTGGTATTATTATTATTATAATTGAGGCATTTGCAAATCTTAATCCGCAAATTCATTTTTGCGAGAAAAAAATTATAATAATAATTACAACATTAAAATAATAAGTTTTTAAAAAGGCATGTAAATTTTGATCAGGGCTAGGTAATCATTTTGACTAACTTTTACTGCTTACTGCTTTACTCTATACAAATATAATGATTTATTTTTTATTTCTGTCATCACGGATAATTCTTTTAACCTTCACAAATTAAAAGTAGTAAAAAAAAATCATCTGTAGAAAAATTATGAACAAATAATTAGTTTTTGTTAAGTTACGTCATGCAGCATTTTCATAATTATTATCATTTCAATTCTTGGTACTCAATTAAACTAGACGACTGATTTTTATCAACGGATGCAAATTGTTGTTGTTATTGTTTACCTTACTATATATTAAGTTAGTCTATGTTACTTTTTTTAAAAATATTATTCATTTACTTTGTCGCTACTCAAAAATAGTTGTATTATTAATTTGAACATTGTATTAAATATAATACTTTTCATTTCACAGTCGTCATGACCTAAAAGATAGTAATGTTATTTTGTCTTATAACAATGTTTTTAGCACTTGCCACATCAAAGGAAAGTTCAACTACATTTATTGCTGAAATACAAGTAATTAATATTATAATAATACATTTAATACAGAGTCAATTTGCGTTACTTCAGCCTATACGTCATGAACGTCGTATTAATTACTTAGAAGTAATTGGTATCTATTCTTTAGGAGAAGGCAAAGCCAGCTTTAATCAATATAACGCCATCCATTATGCAGACTTCCATTATATATTTTATGATTCTGTTTACATAGGTCGAGTAAGTTGAATTTATTTAGCAGCCCTAAAACCCTAATGAATATAATAAAAGAAATCGTGAGAATCAAAAGGTAATAAGTGGCTTTTATAAAATTTAATAAACTAGCAAAATGAATATGGTTTCTCCCTTGTATGCTTAGGAGTGATGTTCATTAGTCTTTTTTCAACAATATTAACAATAAGTATTGTGTTGTATTAACAGTTGATATTGTTAAACGGAAAACTTATAGTTTTGGTTGTCATCGCTTTGTTATGTTTGCTTGATCATTTTCGGATCTATCGGTGTTACCACTAGTTAGCTGTTATTTCGACCCATTGCAGGGTGTAATCGTCAGAGACTTTGTTGTTGAATATAATAAGCATGTCTTTGAAGATGGCATTTGCAGTGGGATTGAAATGTCAGCTTAATAATGACAACTATTTGGATAGATCCGAAATTGATCAAGCAAATATTTCAATTCATAAATGTTTTAACACATTTGTTGTTAAAAAATGCGTATTCTGAAAAAATACTAGTCTAGCGTTAGGTAAATAATTAATCGTTGAACAAAAATGGTAGAAAACAACATTTATGTATATTTCTGGGCAAAAAACAAACTTGAACAAGCTGAATAATGACTTGTGCTTAAAAGCCGTAGCTTTTCGCGATAAAACAAAATATGTTTTCGGTCACACAACCGTATTGTGTTGGTGTTGTTCAGGCATATATACAGCAACTATACAACACTAAACATGTCGCACGTTCGGTGTTTTTTGTCCATGTTAATTATTATCGCCGTGGCTGTGTGCGTCGGCTTAGGATCCACTGCCATCGATCAATGGAATACCGTGCAAGAGCTCAACAGGGGACCGTATGCGAGGCGAATGCTGGAGGACTCCAAGACCCAGGACGAAAGGGCACTATTGGACGACACTAGTAAGGGATTCGAAGATCTAAAGTGTAGCTATTTGTACCGTATGCTGTTGCATCTGAAGCTCACCGGAGAACTGGTGATACGGAAGCCCAGCGTGGTAGCAAAGACTAACATACCCGAGGTGACGTTCTGGAACGAAGGCCGGCAGATATTGGAGTTTATGCATCACTACAAGTTGCAGTCTACAATCCGCATGTTGCACAGTGAGCTCAGCATATTTTGGATATTCGTCATGTACACCGAAAGGGTGCAAAAGTACACAGCCGAGGACTTTGCAGACAACGAAGAAGCAAACAAAACGCTGACCAACATACACACTGCGGTGACGGAACTGTTGGAAGAGTGTTCCAAAGATTGCATAGTTTACGATCAGATCTCTGGCTTGCCGTTGAAGGAAGTTTCGTTTTTGGATAACATCAATGATCGCGTAAGTACGGCCGTAGATCCGGAGTCCAAGATAACGTTGATCGGTGAAAATAAAAACGATTTCAAACAACAAGTCGACAACAACAAAGAACTTATCCTCTTGCACGGTGAATGTAAAAGCCATCTGAGAATGTCATGCATGCACCTAAACAACGTGCACGAGTCAAAAGAACACATGACTCTGCTGGTACAGCATTTGGGTATGTTCGACACAAAAACACAAAAATTATTCGTAAAAGAATTGAGGGACTTTTTCAAATTTACTACGAGCACTACGGTACCGCTTTACAGGCAAATAGAGGTTTTCAGACGGGTTCAAAAAGTGTTCATTGACATGCTCAAGGCGGTCGCGGTGCGTATAGCGCTCAAACACTTGAGTTTCTTGAAGAAGATATTTAAAGACTCTGTAGATGCTTTGTCTAGCACTCGTCCTCAGATAAAGGCACTGCACATTGTATTGACCGATTTCTTCGATTATTTAAATTTGGCTGCCCATAACGACACGGTTATGTCCAACGTCATTGATGCGTTTGGCGGGGGCTACATCTACGAAACTCAAATCGATGATTTTATTAAGCATACCACCACTTCGTTGGACCATATCAAGAGGGACATACCTTTCAAATTGTCCTCGCCGAAAAATTTAGGTACGAAAGTTCCAAGTGTTGTACTACCTTATACTAAATGTAGGGCTAATAAACACCTTCTTAAAGCGGCAAACCGATATGGAATGACAACGAATATTAACGATTTTTCCTCATCATTAGATGCGAATGTACTGAGAGGCAAGATTTTGAATGAATTTTTACGCAAAAATTTCCACTGTTCCGATTTTTATTTTATTTCGTCTTATGGAAATATCATTCCATCGGTTTGGGTAGACAAATTAGAATATTTATATTACAAAATGAAAAAAGGCGGCAAAGATGCTCAGACAACTCAAATATTAACAGACAAATAATAGCAAAACACTTCAATCTTTATGTATTTTCTTAAATTATTTTAACATTTTCATATTTTTTTTTTTGTTATTCTTGCACAATTTTGTCTTTATTAACTTGATTAATTTATTTTGATTGTAATTAATAGAATAGATTATTGAAATAAATACATTAATTTACTAGCAAAAATTGTATTGTGTTTTTTTTTCATCGTTGCTTTATTGCTTCACTCCACTATACTGTTTTTTTTTAATATCAGATAGGTAAAAAGTGCCAATAGTAACGGTATACCGAATACACTGTACACGGGTGTCACCTTTTCCAATTACAATTTGATTTGAAATTTTTTACCTAAATAATTATAAAAATAAAAAAAAATGTGTGTAAAACAAAACTGATATCACTCTGTTTTTGTAATATTTTCACAGGAAGAATACATTTTCAAGAATGTAAACGTGAACCCGGAAAAAACATTCCCAACGACAGAATATTGGTGGGAATACATTTTTAAGTTAAACTTTGGTATTCACAATAATCTTGAGGAGGAGTGGCCGTGTGGGTAAGGCGGCAGTGTGTAAGCGCTCACTGTCGCCGGTTCGACACTCGGTCACAGGCGCTCCGTTTGCTGGGCGAGCAATCGTCTGGTAAAAAGGAACCGCCATCCCCCTCTCCGGCGACGGATTGACGACCCGTCCCGGAAGTGAATTTGTCAAGAATCCATCTCATGATGGCAGCGTTGGGCCTTCATGGCCCGTTAAGCTACATGAAGATGATTCACAATAATCATAACATGAAGGTACTGAATATTCTCGTTGAGTTTTATTTTTTGACATTTAGAAATAACCTTTTCATTTTACATTTTTATATTTGTACACAGTACATTCATAAAAAATGGGTGTCCACGATGGACACCCATTTTGTATTAAGAAGGGAGAGATGTTATGTATGTATGTAAAATGTGCTATCGGTTGTCAATAGTTATTATGCTATCAATAGTATTATCTGACATCTGTTATAATTTATATATATTATAAATGATATACCGCAATATTATGTGTCGCCGTCGAGCGTTAGTATTATCAATAAACCAGTCTAACCTTATCAATACGTGCGTTCAGTACTTTGTTAGTACAGTTAAGATAAAACGTAACATAAAGCACCGAAATTACAATTATATTAATAAAAAATGGGTGTCCATCGTTACATCGATCATCTGGTATAATAATCCGGAAATTAATTCGAGTTACCTTTTATTAAGAAAAAAAAGAAGAAGTGGAAGAATATTTTTTAAATTTTATTTTAAATTACATACGGACCTGGGTCCAATTACAATGATATAATATGCTAATACACATTTTACAAAATTTCAGACAAATTTCAAGTAAATATTGCAATTAAGAAAAACAAAACGTAGAAATCGATTTTGAATAGATTCTAAATCCTGTATTAAATAAAGCTGTTGTGGTGACCAAAGATATGAGTTGTGTACGAGACATGATCGAACGAGAGAACAATAAAGTGTTTTATAAGTAATAATGTTTTTAAAATATTTGCAATGTCGTCTAAGAAAACCAGTACAGTGGGGTCGGGGAATAGTGGGGGCGGGGAGGTCACAGGTTTACAGGAATTTTTAAATCTGAAAGTGATAAAATCACTTTCGAAAAAACGCTTCGATGCAAATCGGTAGTTAGTATTTTCAAGCCAGTACAGTCCAAACCAAGCACAGTATAAACCAGCAAAGTTAGAAAGTTTTAAATGAAGGTTCTGTATTTACAAATGAACATCAAAGCGTTTATTTGAAAGTGATTTTATCCGAGAGGACTAGTAGAGTAGAGTATAGGCATAATGTAATCAAAGCAATGAGGAAACGGAGAGGTCACAGGTCTACAGGAATTATTATAAATAAAAGTGATAAAATTGAATAAAATCACTTTCAAATCTCTCAACTGCACTAATGTCACACTGTAATAAGTAAGAGTCATTAATTGATTTAATAGATCCAAGTAATTTGCAATCATCAGCAAAAGAATATAGCTTAGCAAAGTGCCGATAAAAGGCTATGTCACTTATACAAATATTGAATAAAAGTGAGGGAAGTTATATATATATTTGTGTTTTTATTTTGCAAAAAAAAAAAATTTTTTAAATATTGTAATCATATTACATTCTTAGAATTAAATTGTATTCTATTAACATTTCTGTATAACTAAATATTTGACGCTTAAAATTTCATATTATATTCGAATAATAGGCTTATTTATCAAGATGGTTTATTGGTTTATAAGGAATACGATACAAATTATTATGACCATAAAAGCTATGATATTGAATGATTACAATAAACCTTAGTTTAAGTGTTTAATTACACAGTATATAGGTAAGAAAAACTTAAATCAGTGGTTTTTTTTTTGTTTCAAAATTTACCTGTTCAAATAAATTATTACACTCGATGTTTTGTAAAAAATGCGTGACTAAAAGAATACAAATCTAGCGGTAGGTAAATAATTAAAAGTTAGAAAAAAAATTGTTGAAAACAACATTTATGTTTATTTTTGGCCGAAAAATAAACACTTGAACAAACTAGATGACGACTTGTGCTTAAGATCCGTAGCTTTTCGCATGAAAACAAATAACAAAATATGTTCTCGATCACACAACCGTATTGTGTTAATGTTTTCCAGGCATATTTACAGCAACTTTACAACAGTGAACATGTCTCACGTTTGGTGTTTGTTGTCATGTTGATTATTATCGCCGTGACTGTGTGCGTAGGCTTAGGCTCAACTACCATCGATCAATGGAATACCGTGGAAAAGCTCAACAGGGGACCGTATGCGAGGCCAATGCTGTACGACACGCGTAAGGTATTCGAAGATCTAAAGTGTAGCTATTTGTACCGTATGCTGTTGCATCTGAAGCTCACCGGAGAACTGGTGATACGGAAGCCCGGCGTGGTAGCAAAGACTAACATACCCGAGGTGACGTTCTGGAACGAAAGCCTGCAGATATTGGAGTTTATGCATCACAACCACGTGGACGAGACGCAGTCCACAATCCGCATTTCGCATGGAGAGCTCAGCATATTTTGGATATTTGTCATGTACACCGAAAGGGTGAAAAAGTACACAGCCGAGGACTTTGCAGACAACGAAGAAGCAAACAAATCGCTGACCATAATACACACTGCGGTGACGGGACTGTTGGAGGAGTATTCCAAAGATTGCAAAGTTTACGATCAGATCTCTGGCTTGCCATTAGAGGGAGTTTCAATTTTGGACAAAATCAATGATCGCGTAAGTACGGCCATAGATCCGGATTCTAAGATAACGTTGATCGGGGAAAACAAAAACGAGTTCAAACGACAAGTCGACCACAACAAAGAACTTATTATACCCTTGCACGACAAATGTAAACACAGTCTGAGAATGTCATGCATGCACCTAAACAACGTGCACAAGTCAGACGATGACATGACTCTGTTGATACAACATTTGGGTATGTTCGACAAAAAATCACAAAAATCTTTCGTAAAGAAATTGAGGGAATCATTCGAATTTACCATGAGTACTACGGCACCACTATACAGGCAAATAGAGGTTCTCCAACAGGTTCAAAAAGTGTTCATTGACGTGATCAAGGCGGTCGCGGTGCGTATATCGCTTAAACACTTGAGTTACATGAAGAAAATGGTTCATCCCCATAAACATATTTTGCATGACAATGAGTCTCAGGCAAATGCAATGCACGCTACACTGAAAGTAGTCTTCGATTATTTAAATTTGGATGCCAATAACGACACGGTTATGCCCAACGTCATTGAATCGTGTAATGGGGGCTACGTATTCGATGATCGCATCGATGCTTTTATCAGACGCACCACCGCTTTGTTGGGCCATATCAAGAGGGATATACCTTTCGAATTGTCCTCGTCGATAAATTTAAATACGAATGTTCCAAGACGTTTTATAGCACCTTTATCTAAATATGTGGCTAATAAACACCTTGTTAAGGCTGCAAACCGATATGGAATAGAAACGAGTACTAACGATTTTTCCTCAGCATTAGATGAGAATATTCTGAGAGGCAAGATATTGAATGAATTTTTACGCAAAAATTTCCACTGTTCCGATTTTTATTTTATTTCGTCTTATATAAGTATCATTCCATCGGTGTGGGTAGACAAATTAGAATATTTCTATAACAAAATGAAAAAAGGCGACCAAGATGCTCAGACAACTCAAAGATTAACAGACAAATGATAGCAAAACACTTTAATCTTTATGTATTTTCTAAAACTATTTTAACATTTCTTTACTTTTTTTGTTTTTCTTTTATCGTTTCGTCTATATTAACCTGGTTAATTTATTTTGTTTGTAATTAATATAATAGATTATTGAAATAAATACATTAATTTACTTACACTAAAATTGTATCGTGTTTTTTTTCATCATTGCTTTTTCTCGCTCGCACTGTTTACACCGTAGTTAAATATTTAAACCTTGTAGCCATTCGAGCACCATGCAGCTGTTCATTTTTTTCAAGATACTTTATGTATTTTATTTTTTTTTAAATTTACCTGTTCCAATAAAATATTACACTCGTTGTTTTGTTAAAATGTGCGTCCTAAAAAAATAATATCGACCGGTAAATAGTATTATCGTTAACACAAAACTGATTGAAAACATCATAACATGTATTTTGACGTAAAACAGAACTCGAAAAAATAAATAAATTCTTGTGCTTATAAAATAAGCATTATTAATAAGCAATTGTCACATTAAATAAAAACAGTACATATATATATTTATTACTATTTTTCTATAAATGTCACTTTTTCTGTTAGAAAGGTAACGGATTCAAACGGGTTCAAAAAGTGTTCATTGACATGCTCAAGGCGGTCGCGGTGCATATAGTGCTCAAATATTTGAATTGCTTAAACTGCACATTGTATTGACCGATTTTTTCGATTATTTGAATTTGGCTGCCCATAACGACACGGTCATGCCCATAGTCATTGAAACGTTTAGGGGCAGCTACATCTTTGAAAGTCAAATCGATTATTTTATCAAGCACACCACCAATTTGTTGGACGATACCAAGAGGGACAAACCTTTTCCTCGTCGATAAATTTAAATACGAATATTCAAAGACGTGTTATACTACCTTTATCTAAGTATGTGACTAATAAAAACCTTGTTAAGGCGGCAAACCGATAAGGAATGACAACGAATATTATCGATCTTGCGTCATCTTTAGGTGAGAATGTTCAGAGAGGCAAGATTTTTAATGAATTTTTACGCAAACATTTCTATTGTTTCGATTTTTATTTTATTCTATCAAATTTTTTATGTTGTTTGTACTATATTAACTATTTAGTTCATTTTTCTATCAATTTACTATTATACAACTACTCTTCGCTTTTAGTACTAAATAAATTCGTTCCTTAACACATTTAGTCACGATAGAGTGTAATTACTTTTTATCGCTCTCACTGTTTACACTGTAGGTAACTATGATTAGGTCAAGACTTATGGACATAAGAGCATCATGCAGCTGTGTATTATTTTAAAGATTTTCAAGATTTTTAAGAAGTATTTTATTTTTACAAAATGCACCTCTTTAAATAAAATATTACACTCGGTGTTTTGTTAAAATGCGCGACCTAAAAAAATAATGTCGCCCGGTAAATTTATCGTTAGACACAAGTGGTTGAAAACAACACAAAAGTTATTTGGCGAAAAACAGAACTCGAACGAAATTAACAACGACTTGTGCTTAAGTCATAGTTATTCGCATAAAATTAAGTATCGAAAATTCCTAACCAGTGCAGCTTGAATCAAGCACAATTTAAGCCAGTGCAGTGCATACTAGTACAGTAGTGTAAACCAAGTACTGTATAAACCAGTAGTCTACTATGCCGAGTCGATAAAGCCGTATTAATGTAGGCAATATTACAAAATAGTTCAACCAATCATTTTAGATTGATCTATAATTGATGCTATTAAAACTAAAACGTTATTCAACTATATTTGTCGATGTATACATCAGAAATGCAAATATGAAATTAAGCCTACCTCCTCCCTCTTCCAAGAATAGCCTCCCTTCTTATATTATACTACTATTTTTTTTCTGTATTTATATATACGAGTATGTTTATACTATTGTTAATATTCTTCAAAAAAAAATATATATTTATGTACAGGGTGATCCAACTAACGTAAGCCACTTATTTTCTCTGAAAATAATAATATTTTGAGAATTTTTCTTTCCTAAACTTTTAGGTACATATTTTACTACATTTCTCAATATATTGAAAATTGTTATAACCAATCCTTATAAGCAAAAAAGGTACACCCTTTTTGATTTTTTGAAATGGCAACATTTGTTTTTAATTATAAAAATTTGTAGACAAAAAATGAAAAAATATGTGAACGTTTGAATTTTGAATTTTCATTTATTTGTTCATTTATTTTGACTAGTATGTGTTCGAAAGACATAAGGTAGGTGGATTTTACTCTTTAGCTGGGTTTCAGTATCTACTATTTATGATTTTAGTTATCACTGATGACAATCTAGTATCTACACAATACACCAGGTACCACGGACTAATTGAGCGACCAAGAACCATTTATTTTATTGTTTGTACAAAAATCTCATAATATTTAAATATAACCTCTTTCAACTATCAAATTTTGACAATTTTTCCATTGGTGGAATAAGAAATTACAAACTTAGTTAAAAAATTTAAGAAAATTTACTTCATAGTAAAATGTCATAGCATGAATATTGTAGTTATGACATAACTCATTATTTTATATATTTTTTTAATATACACATAAATATACCGATTTATAATATTTTCTGTCGACTTTATTTTAAAACATGGTAAAACCTACTTTCGGTGTGTTAGAATAGGTAATCTGTAGATAAGATCCGTTTGTCTATCATTATTTCAAAGTCTTTTATATTGACTTTTTTGGTTTTTAGAGTGTTATCGCCAATTGGACAATGCGAACATAAATACGAATTTTATGTGCTACCGGTTTTGGAAAACCGAAAAAATATGTCAATTGTTAAGAGGAAATGTAGTATCTTTATAAAGTCTTAACAATATTGAACAGACGGATGACAACTGAAAATTTAAACACTAACATTTTTTTATAATTATTGATTACATATTTATGTAATTAAAAATATATGTTGCCATTTAAAAAAACTAAATACAGAGGATTGTTGGCTTATAAGGATTAGTGATAAAAATGTACAATATATTGAAAAATATAGTAAAATGTATGAAACCATCTCATGATGGCAGCGTTGGGCTTTCATGGCCCGTTAAGCTACATGAAGAAGAAGATAGTAAAATGTGTACCTTAAAATATTGGAAAATAATATTGTTCGAAATACCAATAAATTCCTAGAAAACGAGAGCATTATCCTTAAGGATACACCCTATATATATATATATTTATATTGATGTTATTGTATTACTGTTTAATAATTAGCCCTTGTAATAGCCTACTGGCGTTTATATAAATACATAGAATAATAGCATCAAACAAATACAACTTGGAGAATAGATTTACTGTATGAAAAATGATTATTTATTTATAATTCGTGTCAACGGAAATATTTTGACCTTTAAAAATTACCAGTAGTATAAATAAATTAACTGTAGATAAATTACGAATATATATAATTCATTTTAGGTAAAGCGAAGTCATGCTACATTTTCAATATTATTATTCATTTCAATTCTTGGTACTCAATTAAACTACAATTAAACTAGACGATTGATTTCTATCAACGCATGAAACTTTTTATTTTTTTAATATTTACCTTGCTATTTAAGTTAGATCATGTTGCTTTTTTAAAAATATTATTCATTTAGATTAACGCTTATTAAAAAAAAGTTTTAGGACGTATTTCTGTATGAACGAAGCGACAATATATTATTTTATATCAGCTGTAAAATATGCAAACCGTGTTAGTTTAACTCTTCACTTTATTATACGATATAGATATAGTAACTATTTGACATTTTATTTGTCTTCATATAACTTTGTATGCCGGTATTTTTAAATTGTCCTAAGTAATACCTATTTAACTATAATCAAAAGGAATCTTTTTTTTTTTTGTTCATGATGTACCTAACAATGCTTATTTTTAGATAGTTTGTAAAAATAAGGAATACGATCAATAATATTATGACCGCAACTTGAATGATTATTGTAAAGATTTATTTATTATTGTAAATCGTAGCTTAAGTATTTAATTACAACGCAGTATATAAGTAAGAGAAACCTAAATCAGTGGTATATCTTTTGTTAAAATATTACACTCGGTGTATTGTAAAAATGCGTATTCTAAAAAAATTCTAGTCAAGCGGTAGGTAAATAACTAATCGTTGGATAAAAAAGGTTAAAAACAACATTTATGTGTATTTATGGGTGATAAAACAAACTTGAACAAGCTGAATAACGACTCGTGCTTAAGAGACGTAGCTTTTCGCGATAAAACAAATAACAACAAAATATGTTTTCAGTCACACAACAGAATTGTGTTGGTGTTTTTCAGGCATATATACAGCAACTGTTTATAATAAATATTAATCATATAACTATTAGAATATCCATGCTTAAATAAAGAGAACAACTTGCATTATAACAAACAAATATATTAAAAAATCCAAAAAAAATCCGAAAAACACACTTGAATTTCTATTGAAACTCTTATTTCTATCTCATCAGTGTTTTTGGAGTCTCTTTCACGCGTAAAATTATTTTTTATTTTATCAATATATATATTTGTCGATGTAGTTAAAATTTTTATTACAGAATCATCAAATAAAATATTGAAACATTCAAGTGGAGTTTTCGCGTTTTTTCCATGTCTTTTGGCACCAGGTAAATAAGTAATTACATTATGCCTACGAGTACGCGATGTGGGAGCTATAGGAAACTTTGACCATTTGGTACCATATTTTCCAAAAAAAATTGATTTCCTGCAGAATTAGAACTCTCTTCGTCACTTGATGAATCAATTTCTTGTTCTGTGTCTGAATTATGACTAATACATGAAATAATATCAGCAGAACTATCATCAGAACCATTATATACAAAATCATCGTCAGGTTCATCCAACCAAGCAGAAATATTTTCCATTATATCAGTATTTTACCTTGTAATAACAAAATAATACAAAACATAAACCACTAACACATACGATATTCACGTAACGTAAATAGGCGCGTGGCGCA